CCCTGGGAGATTCTAGGGAGTGGCTATCCTGAACCTCTTATGCTTCCCACACTCCCCCTGAAGACTGTGTTGTCTTTTGTCTCTTTTCCCTTCCTGGAATGCACCCCCTCCTTCCTGATAGCCCTGCTCTCTGTTGCTATCCCCCACATCCTCTTCCTCTTCGTAGATACATTCCATCACAATCACCCCTCCAGGGATTAGATTGGCCCTAACTTTGCTGGCCTTTTGCAAGACCCTAAAGACATGTTTTTGTCACTGAGCTTGGGGATCTAGATGTGTAGCAGAGCCCGGGCAATGGTAATGTTGATTTGTTGTGGTGGTTTAGTTTTTATGTCAGCTACTGGTTATATATGTGTTGTTTTTATTGTTTTGTGGAGTTTTTCACTGTTGCTAGCTGCCCAGTGTCAAGATTCTGAGACGGGCAGCCATATAAATTGAATAAATAAATAACCACATTTTATTGGAGAGGTTAACAGAAGGCAAGGTGGCTATATAATATCATTGATGACTCAAGCAGGAGCTTACAAAAACTCAAACAAGCAGTTAATGAAAGACAGTCCTGGAGAAATTGCATCCATCAGGTCATGAAGTGACTAAACAATTGTACAACAAAATTAATGAGCTCTGCCTACATTTTTTCCATCCACTTTTCATTCTGGCTATGCCCACTTCTGGGATGATGATTTGACAGAGCTCAAAGTATGTGCAGCCCTGATCTCATCCTTTACAGGATGAGATGATCAGATTTTACACTGATGCTTTATCTAGAATAGTTGATACCACAGTACTCGTGTTAGGGTTGGATGGCAAGACCGTTTTAGGAATGTAAGAGGCCAGAGTTCAATAAGAGCCTCATATTGTGGGGAAGAGATAGTAGAACGTACATTCTTTTCATTGCACTTTGTGTAAATGAGACTTGTTTTGTGCCACTAATATTATTGACCAATCAATGGGAGTATTGGAGGGGGGAGGCATAAGACTGAAATTAAACTTTTTAATCAATGAACTTTACTGCTTTGAAAGAAAAGTTTTGATTCATGATATCATTCAATGTATTGTTCAGACACTGGAAAGAGACCCTCAGCTCGTGAGGCCTGGGGTTACAGTCTCCCTCGGAGAGGCCCCAGGGTGAGGTAGAAGACATACATCCATTTATTTTTCATGTATTTATTTATTACATTAATTTGTATGATTACTCTTTTGTGATCACTTCAATGCAGAATACTAGACAATGCATGATTTAGAAAAATTGGGAGAAGTCAGTAGGTAATGCTTGTGTGGACTTTATTAAAAGTACTGGGCCACCAAATATATATTCATGTAAAGCAAGATGTATCTTAATAACAATAGGTTACCACAAACTCTGTGTGCATATGTAAGTTATTGGCTCTATGGGGTGAGAGGGAGGAGATGTTGGGCTGATCCACATGACCAGCTTGCTCAAGCTTGAGTAAGGGCTTCTGACCATGTCTTGAGGGTAGGAATACACATTATCCTGTGCCAACTGAAGTAGTGCTGTCTGATTTTCTGGCTGCACATCATTTCATAGTAGGCAAACCCATTCCAATTGGCCACTGGGCATTATAGCAATAATATATTCCCCTGGTCATTGGTTGTTACCCTCCACTGCCTTTCTTCCCCCAATTGATTGATGGAACAGTGACATAGAAATAGAGTAACTGTTCTGTGTGGAATATAGTTTGGTGATTTGTCATCAATGGATAAGTTACAAGGTCATTCCAAATAATCAGAATTGTGCAATTATTGGAACCAAGTACCTGTATGAGGTATTGCAGGTATTATATTATGCTTACCCTTTGGAGAAAGATGCAATGTTTGCTTCTCCCACTTCTGAAAACACAGATGACCATTCATTATGTCAGCTGCTGCTAATGGACAATCATACAATAAGACAAGACTCTTGTAGCACAATTCTAAACCTCCCTAATCAGAAATCCACTGAATTCAGCTTACTCCCAGCTTACTTACTGTTGACAGGATAAAAAACTTAGAATCATAAGCAATCTTAAGCTTTCCATTGCCAGATAACAATCAAGGAGTGAAACAAAACTTTTTATACTTTTTGCTAAGCTACAGGCATGTATCATCTCAATTATTGCAAGAGGATAAAAATGCATTCTTATTTCACTAGAAAGGAAGAAAACAAACTGAGTCACGATAACATAATATTTATGAAACAAAAAGTATCCATCTGAAATATGAAATCACTATAAAAGACCTGTAGGTAAAGTGATGAACGAATGAGCTCCCCCTATGCAAACTAAAACATGAAACAAAAGTACACAAAGCTTTTTCCCTAGAGTATTTTTAATTAAATGTAGTGTGAATACTTAACAACTCCTTATACTGTCAAAAGGCAAGCCAGACAGTCAGTTTAACATGGTTTGTTCCAGTCTGTGAGGCAGCACAAATTATGCCATCCTACAGTTGCTCCATCTATAATGCTGAGCAGTAACAAGATAACCTGTAAGGCCAACACGTATCGTGGAAGATGCAGTGCCTGGTGGATTTCAGCTGGCAAGAAAAACTGCCCCTTACATGTGGCTGTTGGAAAAGGCAAGTTTTAATGATGGTTGAGCAGAGGATTCAGCCATCCATCAGAACTTTTACAGTTTGCTTTTCAGAAATCCTGATCTGTCATGTTCTCTAGTGATGTTGATGCTGCTGCTCTCTCTCTCTGCATGACAGATCAAAATGGCCGTGGAGAGAAGTTGGAAGTGACTGGAGAGGAAGAGATACATGTGCAGCAGCTGAAAATAACCAAGAGATGTTGGACAGTTATGAAAGCAGCACAAAATGTACATACTGTATAATGAGACTTGTGTTAGGAGAAGGCATTGGATCGAAAAATTCCAAAGTCAGCTGGCCTTGGCTACAGGCTGGGGATGAGAAAACAGCTGCATCATACAGAGGTATCCAACAATGGTTAGCCAGATATCCTCAAGCTGAAGTTAGGGGAATGTGTAGATGTATCGTGTATGACTTTATTTTGAATCAAAGCTTCCCAATTCAAGATCCAGGAAAACATTTGGTGATGCTCCCCAAAATTTGCTACTCGGTGATAAAGAGGAAATATGAAATGCATGGGGAACAGTAAATATTTGATTCATTTAATATAAATCCCAAGACATTTATACTTAAATGAAATTAAATCAAACTTAGTTTGTGCCCGTCTCATAATTTTATTCACTCCTTTGTCCTTGTTCAACATAATTTTATCAAGTGCAATCTAAGGGCTTCAGGCAATATTATGCACTCCTCTGTTAAGTCCAACCATGAACCACCACAGGTCATCTATGTGGTTAAATCGGCCATTTAATTTTTGCATTTGCAGGCATGGGTGATGTTGATAGCATTCATAAACGGTACATTTTACACTAAATTTCACATTTCAGCTAAGAGTGCAGGATAAAAGCAGTTCATTAAGTCTTTGCTTGAGGTTGGACACTGGTTAGTTTAATGAGTCATGACAGCAGTCGCCTCACATATCTGATTACTGAGACATGCAGAGAAAAACGTGTGGCTAAATTAATTCTGTGAGAGGTCTGTTTGCTGTCTGCCTGAGGTTTATTAGAATTGTGGAAACCCTGACAATTTTAATTCTCCTACTCCTCTCTGGGCTACCTGCCCACTATGTTCATTGTCCAGTTGGGTAAGAAAGGGCTTTCCTCCTTCCAATTAAATTTTATTTTGTTGGATTAATCTCCTCTTTCTTTTATGGCTATGAATTTGCGTGATTAGTCTTTTTTTTTCTTCTTTGTGTGTGTGTGTATACACATACACACACCCATAGCATTGTTGGCAATGAAATTATATAGTTGATTTTCATTTGCAGGACATGGAAAGGGCACCAGGATGGAACACAATGCACTCAGCCAATTCAGAGTGAGGACACTTTCACAGTTAGGATAAACAGTATCTAAAACCCACACATCAGGAAAGCCCATGAGTCGCAGGAGACTAATTTACAGAGTCCTTTGAAAGAAGGCTTTTCAGTTCAAGTCCAGGTAAAGAATCATTAACAAAGGAGAATCAGAACAGCACCTGGACAGCTGGCCTACAAATCACCTGGATAGCATCTGATATCCTGTGGGGTATATATTCTGCTTCCATTTAAATTAGAATAATTCTTTCTCAGGTAGCATCTATCCAATTTAGCATATGCACATTGTATATTCATTTTTGCTTTGTTTTAGCAGCAAGTGCTGCTTCTCTTTTCTATTTTGTTCAGAAATTTTTATACGCTGCCCAGAATCAGGTTGCCAGAGTTGAAAGGTCATATAAACCTCCTAACTCCTTTCTCACTGGTTACTTTATTTTGTGTTCAGTCTACAGTCGTTCAGCACTTACTCATTCTCAATCCTCTCACTTCTTTTACTGCACGCATTTCAGTACCCCAATCCCACTGCGTTAAACGTTTATGCTTTTTCTGACATACCCAATTCTCACTTAATGCATAATATTGTGGGCAGAACCACACTTCAATACACAGATATTTTTGGTTCTCTTGAGAGATGTTCATGCCTCGCAACGGACCACCTGCTATCCGGACAGCAATCACTGTCCGATATGCTTTTTTTCCCTCTTCCACAGACTCTTTTGCTGCATCATTCCACCAAGTATCCTTTTTTATACCGCTCAGTAATATTTTATGCCTTCTGTGGCACATAATTGTTTTCACTTTGTTACAAACAGCTTCTACATCCTTATGTTCATTTTCCATACATTTTATGGAAACTTTTTCATACAGGGTTCATACCATCTCTTCCTGTACTCATCCTACTTTCTACTTTCACACTATTATATGTGTGTGTGTGTATATATATATATATATATATATATATATATATATACACACACACACACACACACACACACACACACA